CTTTCCCTAATACCATCAGGTATACAGTCAGTGTTCAAAGTTCTCTGATTGTCATAAAAAAATGTATGTTTACATACGTACATACACACGTATGTTATGATTCACTCGTTTGAACAGGATTCCAGATAAGGGTCACAATTTGTGCTTGGTGTGAACCTTTACCCTTTATTCCCTTGAACTGTATTTGTGGAAGGAATAAGGTCATTTTCTTGTGGGGTTTCCTCTAGTCTGGATTTACTGGCTGTGTCTGTGGTGTAGGTGAACGTATTCTCTGTAAACTGGAAGCTGACCTCATCCCTGGAGGTCTGATCACTTTTCAGGCACAGTTTTTCCAACAAGACAACAGTAGGTGGCTTCCCGTCCTCCTGCCATGGGGTTCGTGACGTCGGGTTGGCTCCACGTCTGTGATCTTAAGTGATGTGGATTCTCAGCTCCTGGTCCCTCTAACCTGGTGACGGTCCATCGCTCCTTCATCCAGCCAGCAGGCAGCCTCCAGCGAAGAGAAAGTCGCCCTCGCCTACCATGTGCTTACCCGCTAGGCCAGTACCTGTAGGATAAATGCCAGAGTTCTTCAAAATAGTCATGAGTTTTCCTTCCCTTGCCCCTGGCTCCTCCAAAGAGGATCCTTGGTGAGGTCGTTGTTGCTTTGAGTATTATTTGATCAGAACGTGCATGATCGATACAGAACATTCCAGCTAGAACATTCCATGCTCCTTGTGCCATGTTGACCAGCAGGAGCCCTCAGATTGGCCCCTGTGTCCTCTGTACCCAGCCCAAGTGGCCTGCCTCCTTTTGCTGTGACCCCGGGAGACCCTGACGTCTCCTGCTCTAGACCTTGAATCGGGCATTTCTCCTGGGACACCCAGGTTCCTGCCAGTAGGAAATGGTATTTAGACACCATTGTCTGGAGGCGAGGTCTGCTTCCTACGAGTGATTTGATCATCGTTTCTAGGGCTTTCGTCCAGTGAGCTGAAGATAGAATCTTTTTTTTTTTTTTTAAGATTAAAACAGGTGAGTTCACACTGACATTTCCAATCCAGATTCAAGACGGAGGGTCTTTTTACGCCCCATTCACCTCACATGTGAAATGTCTCCCCCCACGCTGGAAAGCCACTTTCCGTGACCTCGCCACGCACGCTTTTTGTCCTAGTAGCACACACAGCCCCACCACTCAGGGCGATGGCTGACACTCAGCCCCACCACCAACAGGGCGATGTCTGAAGGCAACGTGGGCTGTGATGTCTGTGCTTCTTGTCCTGAGTAGATCCCTCTGGGATCTGTAAGGTCATCAGATATACCCCTCTGGGATCACGCCCACTCTGGTCTTTTGTTTCATTTCACTTTGGATTTTTAGGAATTGCTCTTTTAACTTCGTTTTTTAAATAATTTTGTAAATGAAATATGTACCTGGTTCCAAAGTCAAAACTACATAACAAGGTATAGACAGTTCTAGGGTCTCTCAGACCTCCTCCCCCACCCCCCGCAGTAGAGAATCGGGCCCTGCACACCCGGCCCTGCAGCTGCTTCTCTGACTCTGCGTTGGTGTGTCCTGGAGAGACACCAGAGCAAGCTCAGAGGCCCAACTCCCTTCCATGTAGCTTTTCCACCCTGTGCACAGGGGGATTTGGGGGGTGATTCCAGCCTTTTTGCGATTTCAATTAGCTTGTCTTTTTAAATTTTCTCTTTTAATTAGTGCTAAATCTTTTTTTTTTTTAATAAAGTTATTTATTTATTTATTTTTGGCTGCGTTGGGTCTTCGTTGCTGCGTGCTGGCTTTCTCTAGTTGCGGCGAGCAGGGGCTACTCTTGGTTGCCATGCACGGGCTTCTCACTGCGGTGGCTTCTCTTGTTGTGGAGCACGGGCTCTAGGCACGCAGGCTTCAGTAGTTGTGGCTCGTGGGCTCCAGAGCGCAGGCTCAGTAGTTGTGGCGCACGGGCTTAGTTGCTCCGCAGCATGTGGGATCTTCCCGGACCAGGGCTCAAAACCATGTCCCCTGCATTGGCAGGGGGATTCTTAACCACTGAGCCACCAGGGAAGTCCGTTTTTTTAATTTTTGAAAGACTTATTTTATCCCACATCTCTAAGTGTTTTCGAGTGAGAATGATCCTTTCTTTCTTCCTTCTCCTTCCTTCCTTCCTTCCCTCATTTCTTTTTTTCTTTTAGAGTAAGCCCTCCATAAGACCAGAAATAGAAGACTCATGCTTTCCTTCAGTAATTAAAACACATATGTATTAAGTTAAAAAAAAAATGAAAACCACGTGGGCCCGTCCTGGGCGCAGCAGTGAGCAGGGAAGATGCAGGCACCCACATCGGGGCAGGATCTACGGAGCGGAGTGACAGACCTTGACGAGGGTCTCCCGGGGGGCAGTGGGGCTCCTGGGAGCCTGGAACAGGGGCTGCTGGAGGAGGTGACCTAGTAAAGGGTGGGGGTGTCTCCCAGACTTAGCAACTCACATGAGCAAGGGCCCTGGGGCCAGAGACCCCATTCGCTGCGGGGAGCTGGTCACTGCAGAATCAGGCCCGGTCACGGGCTCTGCCCACCTAATGAGATTCTCCCCCTCCTGGCAGCACTGCCCCCAGAGCGCCTGCCCCCTCCCTGCTCCCATCTCGCCCCCCGGGCCCTGACAGGGGCCTCCCCGGCTCAGTGTTGCTGGGTCAGGACTTGGCAGAGGTCTGGGCACTCGGCTGGCCAGGGAGTGGCCCTGACCCCCCAGTGCGGCTGTGTTCCAGGCATTCTCTACGGCACCATGACCATGGAGCTGGGCGGCAGAGTGACCGTCGAGTGTGAGAAGAACAACTTCCAGGCTGAGCTGGAATTCAAGCTCAAGGTAGCACTGGCCACAGCACCTCGGCCACCCAGGGGCCTTGGGGGGCGTGGGGCTTGGGCTGGGGAGAGTCGAGGCCTTGGGTGGCCCCCGCTTGCCCTCTCAGTGCCCCAGGGATGGTTTCCTGAGCAGGTGCGCATGGACGAGCAGCTCCTGGCTTCCCTGTAGCACAGCGGGGCTCGGAGAGGGGAAGGGGCTGCCCACAGGCCACACAGCAGAGCTAGGACAGGCCCAGGCCCCTTCCCCACCACGGGGCACAAAGCCCTGGTAGGGACCCAGCACCCTTGAGCTCAGGCTGGACCGTGGGCGAGCGTGGCCACCTCCAGCTTCAGTCCCGTCCCAGCTGGCCCCCCATGCACTGGGGCTGGGAGCTCACCTCCCGCCCACCCGTGAGGAAGGGGCCCCTCCTCTCCAGCTCCACGAGGGGGGCGTGGCTGCCGCCCTCACCAGCGTCGTAAGGGCATCGTCTCGGGTGTGTCCCCACAGCCCTTCTTCGGGGGCAGCACGAGCATCAACCAGATCTCCGGGAAGATCACATCGGGCGAAGAGGTCCTGGCGCGGCTCACGGGACACTGGGTGAGAGGCCGCCTCAGGGCAGGCGCGGGTGGGCCCGGGGGCAGCAGAGGCCACGGCCGGTACCTCTGACCTGCCCGGCCGTCTGGGGCAGGACAGGGAAGTGTTCATCAAGGAGGAGGGCAGAGGAGGCGCCGAGCTCTTCTGGAACCCGAGCGAGGAGGTCCGCGGGCAGCGGCTGAAGCGGCACACGGTGCCTTTGGAGGAGCAGACAGAGCTGGAGTCGGAGAGGTAAGGCCCGGGCGCCACAGGACCCCTGACCACGGCTGGGGTGGCCGGGCCGGCAGCTGCTGTCTCCTGGGTGCACGTCCCCTGGATGTCCGTGGCAGGGAGGATGGACCTGAGTGGACCTTTCTTGGCAGAGGACACGTCCAGCTGTGGGCAGCTGGAGAGAGAGCAGGGGAGGCCTGGGGAAGAGCATGCTCCGGGGCAGATGACCTGCAGTCCACGGGGAGGGCCCTGCTGATGGCAGGTGTGCGTCCAGCGTAAGAAAGAACCATCTCAGGGTAAATCAACAGTGCCCAGGAGACCCGGGCACCCTGAGAGGCAGTGAGCTCCCTGTCACTGGAGGCAATCAAGTGGAGGTTGCTCTGAGACTCCCCTCTAGTGTGAGGGGACGGGACTGCCCAGGTCCCCCAGCTCAGAGTGTGTGCTCCGCTCGCAGGCTCTGGCAGCACGTCACCAGGGCCATCAGCGAGGGTGACCAGCACAAAGCCACACAGGAGAAGTTTGCCCTGGAGGAGGCACAACGGCATCAGGCCCGAGAGCGCCAGCAGAACCTGGTGCCCTGGACGCCGCAGCTGTTCCACCTGGACCCCACCACCCAGGAGTGGCGCTACCGATACGAGGAGTGAGTGCTGGCAGACAGCGGCCTGGGCCCCGTGGTGGGCTGGGTAGCAGACCCCCACAATCCTGGCCCTGGGTGATGGGGAGGGAGGGTCACACAGGGGCTGTACACAGGTGCAGGCAACGGTCACTCCACTGGGGGTCTCCGGTCCTGCTGGGAGACTGAGGGCTGGGCCGGGCTGGGGCCCCCTCACTCTGAGGGCCACCGCCCCTGCCAACAGACACTCTCTGGACCCTCCAGCCACAGCCCCTGGGACCCCCTGAAGGACATTGCCCAGTTTGAGCAAGACGGGGTCCTGCACACCCTGCAGCGGGAGACCATGGCCCACCAGACCACCTTCCTGGGCAGCCCAGGGCCCAGGCACCAGGTCAGCACCACCCCCATGGCCCCTGCTGGGTCCCTCCACGTGTGGCCCCATGCCCACCCTCACACCCACCTGCCTGGCCCCCCTCCTCTGGGTCCCCCACCCTGGCACACTCTGACCCATGTCCTAGCAGGGTCTCCTCTGGCATCCCCCTGCATCCCTGCCCTGCCCTGCCCTGCCCAGCATGGGGCCTGGACGCCTGGATTTGCAGGACGCTCAGTTCCCAGGGCACCCTGGTGTTCAGGGCACTGTGCCAGGGTGTATGGTCCTGGCCCATCAACCCCCAGAGCCGCCCTCTGCAGTGCGGGCAGCATGCTATCCCATTCCACAGATGAAAAAAACGGAGGCTCTGGGCAGCCCAGGGACTCGCCCAAGTAGGAGGAGGAGACGGCGCATTTACCCAGATGCCTGGGCCTCAAAAGTGTGGGAGAGAGGGTGGGAGGCGTGGGGGAGGGCAGGTGGGAGGTTCCAGGAGACACGAGGAAGGAGAGCTCCAGACAGAGGTGCCTTTTGAGGGAAGCCTGGAGTGGCCCCCACCACGTGGGCAGGTTCCACGTGTGGAACAGCACACGCTACACCAGCTGGGCACCCACTGTGCACACGGCTGGGGGGCACAGCCCACCCGGGGCAGACTCCTCATCTTGCGCAGGGGCCCCAATTTTCCCAGCAAACAGGGGCCACAGTATCTCACCAGCCACGTGTGTCCCACCCACCCTTCCGCCACATTCCGTGGCCCCTCGGCCTCGACCAGATGGCCCCAGCCCCTCGCACACGTGTCCACCTGACGCCCCTCTGCATCCTCCTCCTTCACTTAAGCCTTTCCAGTCGGCTCGGGCCCCACCAAACCCCAAAGCCTGTCCCTGCAGCAAAGTCCACCTGGGTGGACTGCCCCACCCTCCATCTCTGTCTGCACCTCCCAGCACTGACCCCACCCCCATCGCTGACCCCACCCCCCCCATCGCTGATACACATCAGAGCCACAGGGCCCTAATGCAGAGTGTCCAGGCACCATCCTGGGCCCGTCTGTTGGACACAGGCCTGCTGTCACCTGGCCACTCCTGTACTCAGGGGGCTTGTTTGAGGCCAGCCAGCCTGGGGGTCCCTCCACGATGGGGGAGCCCTCAGCTCACACACTGAGCGGGTCCCTAGCCCCACCCCCATCATCTCCGCATGTATTGGGCAGGACCTCGTGACGGTCCCCAGGCCGCCACAGAGGGGCCAGCAGTCTGCATTACCCCTGAGGCCCGGGGGGAGTGAGGCTCCAGTCCAGGCAGGCCAGGGCCAGACCTCCTCTGTGCACCCAGAGCCAGCAGTTCCCGCCTCTGCCGGCCACCTCCTCCAGAGCTGCCCTGGCATAAGCCCACCACCACGTCTCCAAGGCCAGCGACACCCCAGCAGGTCCCCGAGGGCACGGCGGGCGCACGAGGGTGCGGTGGGTGTGGGTGAGCTCCCGGCCAGAGCTGCTCCATCTCCCTCCAGGGGTCTGGCCCCGACCGGCGGCTCCGCAAGGCCAGCGACCAGCCGTCTGGCCACAGCCAGGCCACCGAGAGCAGCGGCTCCACGCCCGAGTCCTGCCCAGAGCTCTCTGACGAGGAGGAGGACCGTGACTTCGCTCCCGGTGAGCCCTCCTGGGCCAGGCTCTCTTCAGGGCGGGAGGACAGAGAAGCCGAAGGGCAGAGCGGGGTGTGGAAGGGGGCAGGGCTCCCGAGTCTGCCCTCAGGGGGCGGGGCCAGGGCGACGGGCGGGGCTGTGACCTGTCCATCTGTCTGTGACTCTCCGGATTGGCTCCTGCCTCTCTGCCCCCTGCCCTCAAGGGCGTGCCTGTCTCCCCAGCTTGGTCCCCGCCTCTGGGCGAATCAGAGGCCAGCGGAGCCCGGGGTTCCCTCTGGAAACATCCCTCGGCACCATCTCCCTGTATTATTAGCTTCACCTGAAGGCTGCTGTGAGGTGGGACACGGCCCCACGACCCCACCTGCCGGCTCCCCAGACATCCCCGCTCATCCTCACTTCTCCCCCCCACCCCGTGTTCCCTTGTCCCCCGGGTCCTGCGTCCCAGGCTGCGAGAGCCCGTGCCCTCGGTGTGGGAAGGAGGCGTGGCGGCTGCAGTTGCTGCACGAGGGGATCCTGTCCATCCGGGAGGCCCAGCAGGAGCTACATAGGTGGGCCATGCTCGGGGGTCCAGCCGGGGCTCCGGGTCAGAGAGCAGGAGAGCCAGAGCCGGCGGGGGGTGAGGGCAGGCGTTCACCTGCACTGTCATTTGGGCTAGAACCCTCAGGACTTCAGCCGGTCTGGCTACTGGGCAAGGACAGGGGACCTTCTGGGTTCTGCCCTCTGCGAGGGGCGGGCAGGGCAGAACGTGGCGTGTGAACAGGCTGAGCTGGCAAGGAGGATGCTGGGTCTGGCGGGGGCTTGATGGAGTCCAGGTGAACCAGGGCAGGGCTGCCCGTGCTTGTGGCGGGTGGAGCAGACAGAAGCTGGAAGGAGGTGCTGCCAGCACCGGCTCCCCCAAGGATGCCTCCTACCGCCCCGCGGTGGCCCCAGCTCCAAGAATAGTGGGTCCTCAGGAACAGCTGGGTGAGTCATCTCGGGGAAGACTGGGAACACAGTCTATTTGCCGGCACCAGGAGGCAGAGCCCTGCTTGCCAGCTTTGCCCCAGAGCCAGGCTCCCGGCTCCAGCAGGGCTGCAGGACTCCCGGCCTGTGGGACCTCGGGCTGTCCCTGCCTCAGTCTCCCCATCTGTGAACTGGGGTGACAGCAGTGGCCCTGGGGCGGGAAGAAGATGGAGCAGAGGGCTGAGCTCTGTGCCTGGCACCCAGCGATCACTTAACCAGCTGTTAGCATCGGAGCCGCCCTCGGAAGCCTAGAATTTCATGCCTGTGACCCACCCATATGTGGCATAGAGGCGTTTCACGCCGTTTTAGCACCCCACTCCACTGCAGGCTGTGTGGGGCTGAGAGAGGGAGAGGAATGCTGTCTCCATGGTCAGGGAGGGCTTCCTGGAGGAGGATGCAGGTGGGCAGGGAGGAGCTGCAAAGAGGGAGAGCAGAGGCCAGCACTGAGAGCAGAGGGCACCACACGTGGGCCGCTGCCGGAGAAGGGCGAGCCAGGTGAGGGGGCGGAGATGGTGGAGCTGAGCCCAGAGGCCGTGGGAGCCGGGAGGGTCGGGGTGGCCATCTAGCACCACAGGAGGAGACTAGCTGCAAGGCGGGTGAACCGCCGGAAGCTTCTGCTGAGGTCCAGACACACACTGACGTCAGAGTCCAGGGCGGGGCTCTGGGTTTCCCGGGCTGCCATACAGAGTACCAGAGGGAAACAGCTTCAGCCACAGACATTTACCTCTCCCAGTCCTGGAGGCTGGAAGTCCAAGATCAGTGCAGGGCTGGGTCCTCCCGAGGCCTCTCTCCTCGGCGTGTAGACGGCCGTCTTCTCCCTGTGTCCTCACGGGGTCGTCCCTCTGTGTGTGCCTGTGTCCTGACCTCCTCTTCTTATAAGGACACCGGTCCTACGGGATTAGGGCCCATCCTAGTGGCCGCATTTTACTTTATTCACCTCTTTAAAGGTCACATCTCCAAATACAGTTGCATTCTGGGGCGCTGGGGGGTCAGGATTCCAACAGAGGACTTTGGGGGACACAGTTCAGCCCATAACAATGGAGGTGGGAGGGAGGATGTAAGAGGCCCAGCTCCCCCAGCCTTGAGGGCCCCCCCCCCCGGAATGTGTGCCCAGGAAGCGCGGTGCAGCCACTGTGCCCTGGGTCCCTCCCCCCCGCCATTTGCACCCCGGGGCAGGGATGTGCCATCCTGCCTGGGCTGGCCCCGGCTGAAGTGCGGCGCCCTCTCATTCCAGGCATCTCTCGGCCGTGCTGAGCTCCACGGCACAGGCCAGGCAGGCACCGGCCCCGGGCCTCTTGCACAGTCCCCGCTCGTGGTTTCTTCTCTGCATGTTCCTGGCGTGTCAGCTGCTCATTAACTACATCCTCAAATAAGAGCCCCTGGGGGACGGCGTGGGCATCGCCTGCAGAACTCGGGCAGCCCCAGCCTCCCTCCCAGGCACCTAGCACTTTAAGCCAGCCCCGTGGAGGCAGAGACCCAGTGAGCACGGCCTCTGTGGACAGAGGGGCCCACGGCGGCACAACAGCAGGAGGGACCTGGGAGGCCACACGGGGTCCTCCCGGGGAGGCGCTGGCCTTAATGCTGAAGCCAAATGCCACATTCGTCGTGCACTGCACTCCCTGGTGACCTCGTCCCATCATGCCCGGTCAGCCTCAGGGGGTTGATGGTGGAGGGGCAGGAGAGCCTGCAGGGCTCTGGATGTTGTTCCCCAGCAGGGGTGAGTGGGGGGCGTTGAGGAGCAAGCCGGGACCCCAGGCCCTCCTTGGGCCTAACACACAGGCCATCCCTTCCTGAGACCCTGCCCACATTGCCCTGGAGGGGCCACAGGTGGGCTGGAGGCGCCCTGGAGGGCGCTTGGGGCTTTATTCTGCCTTTGTGCTGTTTGGACAGAGCCCAGTTCATATACCTACAGGACCTGCCCCACCTCCCTCAGCCAGGACGTGCCAAGCTGGGGCGGGCACGTGTGAGCACGGCGCACCTGGGGACAGCGTCCCTGGCCCGGGGCCTGAGTTGGACACTTTGCTCAGATTGTTGCACGGTCTTCTCTTCCCACACGTTTTTAATAAACGCAATCGCAATATTTTAGGCAGGCTGCGAACAGCGCCTGGCGTCTGGCCTCCATTCCTGTGTCAAATGCCAGGGTGTGTGTGTGTGTGTGTGTGTGTGTGTGTGTGTGTGTGTGTGTTTATGTTTTAACTCCCCTACTCATGATCTTAACCTGATTTCTCTCTGAGAAAGGAAGTAACAGGGGTGTGTGTGTGTGTGTGTGTGTGTGTGTGTGTGTGTGTGTAAGAGAGGGAGGAAAAGGGGGAGGAAGGGAGGGAGAGGGAGACACAACAACAGACACGTGAGGGTGTGTGTGTGTGTGTGTGTGTGTGTGTGTGTGTGTGTGTGTGTGTGTGTGTGTGTGTGTGTGAGCATCTGCACATATAGATACACACGGAGCCTTAAACTATGTTGTGACGGTGTCATCTGAGCTGATTGTCCAGGTTATGTACCCATGTTCTTACCCTCCCCCAGTTTGGGGACATGTCTTTGCTCCATCCCTTGAAATAAACAAGACACACATATTGTGTGTGTTGTCTTCTTGGGGAACTTCTGGAACCTGGTGGGGGTGCGATGTCTTTCAGGGGAGAAACGCAATGCCAGCAGAAGCTGTCTGGGGCTGGAGGGGCCCAGGGAAGGGTCTGAGGCCCTGAGGATGGAGGGAGGAGGTCCGTGAAGGATGGGGGTGCAGTTTGCAGGGAGCAGTTAGAAGCAGCCCACCCTGCTGAGCCAGCGCCAGGAAGCTGGGGTCCTGTCAAACAGCCGCTGAGCCAGCTGAGGACACGGGAGGGGCGCTGCCCACCGGGGCCTCCAGGGTGGCCCTCAAGCCCATTTGGCCTGGTCCCTTCTCCACAATAACAGCCCCCTCCCTGTCCTGCTGCCCCCAGCCCAGCCCTTCAGTTCCACTGTGGCCACCATTCCCAGTACTCACCAACACCAGGGCCAGGTGAGTGCGCCTCCCTTTTCTGGGACAGCCCAGGATGCCCCTGAAGGGGAGGGTGGGGACAACTGACCGCAGACCCCATGCACCACAGTACAGGGAGACTGCAGCCCAGCCCTGACAGTTCATGAAGGATGAAAGACACAGAGGGAGAGGCCACAGGACAGGATGGACTTGGACTGGGGCCGAGGAAGGGGCAGGTGGGCACTGCCATCCCAGCCCTCACGCCTGCACTAAGCAGACGGGACTCCCAGGATCCCGCATCGAGGGCAGTCCCCCTAGACTGGCTCTGGATCCCATGTGGTTGTCCGTCCCTGCTGAGGGTGGGTGCTTTCCAGGTGGAAGTATTCTGCACCTTGTTACTGAGGCAGGCTGCTCTGGACCCAAAGCCCTGGGCCACCTATCTTGCACCCTGACCCCTTCAGAGCCAGACGGGGCCACCCTGCTGCAGCCTGATCCACCAGCCCCTCCAACCCCTGACCCCTGCAGCCTCGGAATCTCCTCCAGAATTCTCTTTATGTCCTTGGTGGGCCAAGAACTACTCTAAATAACAAGGAAAAGAAAGCTGGGTGGGCATCGTCCCAGGGGAACAGGTGGCCAATGCCCAGAGGGGTGGCTGCAAGGGCATCACACAGCCCCTCCGTGCAGTAAAAACCTGGACGTGGTTTCCGGGTCCATCAGCCAACTCTTGGGTGTCCAGATGCTAGTGGTTAAATCTAGAATGATGTAGGGTCCAGAGCTGGGCCTCCCACTCTCACGTCCACTCAGCACCCATTTCCCCGCCCCACTGACAGCGTGTCTGGCTTGGCTCCCAGGGCATCTGGGCAGGAAGAGGACGTTGCAACTGGACTAGGAGAGTGGAAGCTCAGGAGGGCCTGTGCGGGGGCCCCACCTCACCCTCTAGGAGACTCAGAGCAGCAAAGAGAGAGGCTGAGGAGATGCACTTCCTGGGGACACGGTGACAGTCACCTCACCTTGTCACCTCCTTGAGTGAACAGCCAGCAACCTCTAGGAGGAAGAACTAGCAGAAGCGACCTGGGTCCCGGGCAGGGCTGAGAGACTCAAGCAGCTGAGCGGGCCCCCTGGAGTACGCGAAGCTCCCTGTGGATGTGCCTGGGCTGCATCCTGCTCTCCCCACGAAGGAAGGGTCACCTCCCCTTGAATCCCTCTCATCCACCTCACCCGCCTCCCTCATCAACGTCGCTCCCGCGGGCAGCTCAAAAGATGCTGTGGGCTGAGGCGGGGAGGGAGAGACAGACGCTCGGTGTGCGGCGGCCACCCGAGCCCAGGTCGGAGCCCCTGGGGCATCTGGGGCCGAGGGCGCAGGAGGGGCGGGTGAGGGGGGACCGGCGGTCGGCAGCGTGCTCGCCCAGGAGGGGCTGGGGAGGGGGGCGCGGCAAGCGAGGCGCTCCGTCCTTTCCTTTGCAGCGGGGGCTGTGCATACACCCTGCCCTCCCCCGCCCCCTCGGAAGCGACTGGGCAACAAGTTAAACTTGGGGGGAGGGGCCGGGAATGGCCGTCCCGGGGGCGCCGAAGCCCGAAGCCCATCGGTGGCCCAGGCGCGGCGACGGCCTGGGCGGAAGACCTCGGCATCTGAGGTGGGAGGCGCGGGGGCCAGGGACGGGCGGGGCCGAAACGCGAGTCTAGGACCACCGGTCCTAGGCGTCTCCTCCGCGTGGCCGACTTACGGGAATTCGGGGGAGCGGAAGGTACCGTTTCCAGCAGGGAGGCGTGGCAACTGGGAGGCGGAGCCCGTGGGTAGGACGAGGGGAAGGCCGTCCGCTCCGATTGGGTACCTTGGTCAGAAGCTCCCCTCCGATTGGCTGTGAAGTCAGAAACTCCTCAGTGAATGGGGCCCGGGGATCGACGGGTAGCCAGGCTTGGAAGTGTGACCGCAGTTGTCAGCTCGTCCTTAGAGGCGTCGCGATGGTTCCCCGGGCGCGCGCTGTCCTGGCGGTGCTGCTGCTGCTCGCGGCGCAGGTGGGACGGCGGCGGAGGGGCTCGGGGGAGGGAGGACTCTGAGGACGGGAAGGGGGCTGTGGCCTGGGCGCGCGTCCGGAGCGAGGATGACGCGGGCGGCGGGACATCCCGCACCCGGATTCCCATCCCGAGCAGGTCTCAACGGGAAGTTTCCTGCACCCAAAGGCCCAGGCGGGGCCGAGCCCGCTGCACATCCTTGGCGACTGAGCGCGGGGAGCCCCAGTGGAGGTTGGGGGGGCATACGAGGGACGGGACTGCGGAGGGCCGGGGCTGCGGGGGGCTGGCTGAGTGTGTGTGTGTGTGTGTGTGTGTGTGTGTGTGTGTGTGTGTGTGTGCGCGCGCGCGCGCAACTCAAATATATAATACAAAGATGAACACATTCAGATACACATACACACTCAGATCCCCGTTCCCAACCCATAGACAATATCCTTTCTTAACACAGTCTATATGCAACCGGTGAAAAAATTAACTATAGACTAGAAAAAATCAAATACTAAATTCCAAGGGATTACTACCACAAAGGGTCTAGTTCTGGCCATGCAAATAAAATAGGCGCCCACCATCGAAGCAGTCAACAAATCCACATGCATTTGGGAACTAAAGAACATATTCCCCCCCAAATAATATTGCTTTGTATCGCGAGTGGAACAGCACGGAGATGCTCCCCCGAGAAAGCCCACTTCCACGAGGGAGGCAGTGCTCCGGGTTGGGGGGTGACTGCCCCTCCTTGCTCAGGGGTCTCGGTGTCTGCTTCCATCAGGAGCAGAGACATCTTTTGATAATGCCAATCTCCTCTTTCTGATTGAAGGTGACCATGGCAACCGGGGAGACCCGGTGTAACCCGGGCGAGTATGAGGTTACCAGCCTTTGCCGCTGCAGCAAACTCTGCCCGGCTGGTGAGTCTGGGACCACTTACAGAGCCTTCTGGGGCAGACCCTTCCTGGGAGGAGGGAGGCCGCAGTCCCTTGGAGCAGAGCTGGGGGCTGCCTGTGGGGAGTACCTGGCTGTCTGTGGGTGGGAGGGCCTCTCCTGGGCAGCTGCCCAGTGCCCCACCTCTGCACCCACCTTGGGAGCTCTCGTGTGAACAGAGTGGTGTGTGCTTGTTTTGAGATGGGTGAGGTGAGTCAGCAGGGCTTGGAGGACAGAAGTGGGGGCCCATGCCCAGGCTGGACACGCCCACCTTCTCACCCGCACCCCATCCACACTCAGACAGGTGTGCCCACGTGATCAATGAAAGTCCCTTCATGGCCTCCTCTTGTAAGGGTCCAGCCACACACCTGTGCCTCATTTTATCCGGGAAAGTGTGCCTTCCGGGGCTCCTGGTTCAGAGACCAAACACCCAAAACCTGGACACTCAGCCCCGTATCCTCCCCACACACACCCGCGCACACCCACCAGTACCCACACTACATACATTTATACACACACATCCATGCATTCACACGCACACCTACATGAACCACATGTAGGAAAGAAAGGGACACAGTTGGTCCAACATGAAATCTTGTGACCTCTGCCCAGCATCCGCATACTGCAGGGCATCAGTAAAAGCCAAGGGGCAATTCAGGTCCCCGGTTTCTGGGACACCTGTGGCCTCGGATCAGTCCAGAATGTTCCAAGGAGACGGGAGGAGAGGGGTGGGTACTGTGCAGGGGGTCCGGCCTCCAGGTGCCTTGGGACCTCCTCATGCAGAGGCCTCAGAGACCAGGCGGGGTCTGCGGCAGAGCAGGACAGCCCTGGACACCCACCTCCGCTCCGTGTACCACCTGCCACAGGCTACTATGTCAGCAAATACATAGACCAGGCCCACAGCGTTGGAGAATGCAGAGAGTGCGAGTCTGGAAGCTTCCGGGCCCACCCCAGTGAGGAGAGCAGCTGCGTGCCGTGTTCCCAGTGCCGGGAGGGTGAGTGGGCTGCCGTCCAGGCAACGTGCCCCTGTCGACTGGCCCTGTGGGAACCTCCCCAAAGGAAATTATCACAGAGGAACACGGGGATGGGGCTGCTAGAGCAGACATCACAAAGTGCTTGTTTTTTTGTTTTGTTTTGTTTTTTGCGGTACGCGGGCCTCTCACCGTCGTGGCCTCTTCCGTCGCAGAGCACAGGCTCCGGACGCGCAGGCTCAGTGGCCATGGCTCATGGGCCCAGCCGCTCCGCGGCACGTGGGATCTTCCCGGACCGGGGCACGAACCCGTGTCCCCTGCATCGGCAGGCGGACTCCCAACCACTGCGCCACCAGGGAAGCCCCAAAGTGCTTGCTTTTATCGTGATGCTGTGTGTATTGGCTAAAGAATCAACCTACATGTCATTAGGATTTCAGAGTTGCTATGTATAAGGATGATATACAGAAGCTCTTCCAAATCTCTGTATATCGGTGACATTGTTTTTTAAAATGTAATTGAAAAATACCACCTGCATTAGCAAAAAAAACCGCAAACAAACAAGATTCTTTGGAATAAATCTAGCAAAGCATGTATAAATGTGTAAGTGAACCAACAACATTTAAGAAAGTCTAAATATGGAGAGGAATACCACAAGATAGTAAGCAAGAAGGCTCAACGTTTTGTTGGGGGGTTTTTTGGGCCGCACGGTGTAACTTGCAGAATCTTAGTTCCTGACCAGGAACTGAACCTGGGCCACAGCAGTGACAGCGCTGCGTCCTAACCACTGGACAGATAGGGAACTCCCTCAGTGTTTTAAAAGTATCAGTTTTCCCAGGAATGGTTCTTAGATTTAGTGCATTCCCAATGAAAATCCCAACAGAATGTATCAACTTATCATGCCATACACCTTAAGTAGATACAATTTTTATTTTTAAAAAGTAAACTATCCCAATAGGAGATTTCATAAAACTGGCTATGCTGACAGTTGCCAAAACAGCTTCCTTCTTTCCTAGAGGAGGAAAACAAGATAGCACACTGGCTCCCCCAAGTACTAGGACTCTGTACAGAGAGATAGCTCAGCAGTGTGATATTCACGTAGGGGTGGACAGTGGGCCCCGTGGAAATAGCCCCGTAGATGTGAAACGTGGGGTGTGGCCCCACGAGCGAGCCCGTCACAGGCGAAAGGCGGAATCCCCCAGTGATGCTGGGAGAGACCGTTCAGTGTCCACACTGAGCAGTGCTCTTCTGATCTTTGTGGGGCAAACGAGATGGACAGAATGATTTGGGGGTATTTCTGAGCAGTTGGCCCTGTGCCCCAGCCCAGATTGCAGGGGCACCCACTCCAGATGCAGGGGATGAGGTCTGGCTGGTCCCTGTCTCCATCCCTGCTGGGGAAGGAGGGGGGGTGAAGATTCTGAGGCTTTGACTACAAACCTGGACGTGGCCGGCATGGGCAGGACAGAGTCCAGGCCCCTGTGACTGACCCTCGGCCTTCCCTCCAGCAGATCAGGAGGTGGTGACTGAATGCTTCCCAACCAGCGACCGGCTATGCCAGTGCAAGCAGGGCGGCTTCTACTGCGATTCCATGGACTGCACAGAGAGCTGCTTCCGGTGCAAAAGGTGTTGGCCTGGGGTGTGTGAGCTGAACAAACAGGCCTGGGCGTGGGTTCCCCTCCTCCATTCACTGCCTCTTTGGCTTTGGGTCACTTATTCTTTCGCCCCCTTCCCGGAGCCTCCGTTTTCCCATGTGTAAAATGGGGCTAATGGTAGCACCTGCCCCACAGAGGTGTCCTGAAATTAAGTCAGACAAGTCACCTGGATGTTTCCACCTGGTGACGGACTGGAGTCAATGCTCATTCCTTCCTTCCTTCCTTCAGGTGTGATCATGAGCCCCGCTGTGGCCTGCAGGTATTATGGCAGGCCTGGCGCCCCCAGCCATGGTGGAGACCATCCCAACACCTATACAGTGACAAGCCCATGAGGGACAGAGGGGATGCTAGAGACAGCTCTCTCTAGAGCAGATGCCCCGTGAGGGAGGGAGGGAGGAAACTCCCGGCAAAGAAAACCACAGGCAGAGAGGACGGCAGTACCACGTCCTGAGGCAGGGTGGGATGCCCACTGTCACGGTAAGAGTCTCCTGGGTCTGCTGTAAAAAAGCACCACAAGTGGGTGGCTTTTAATAAACAACAGAAATGTATTCTTTCACGGTTCTGGAGACCAGAAGTCCGAAATCAAGGTGTCAGCAGCCGTGCTCCCTCCGAAGACTCTCAGGGAGGAATTTCCCACGCTTCCTCAGCTTTCCATGTTGCCGGCAGTCCTTGGCGCTCCTTGGCTTGTAGACGCATCACTTCAATCTCTGCTTCCACCTCCAAGTGGTCTTCTCCCTGTGCGTTTTTGTGTCTGCACCTTCACGTGGCCTCCTCTCTGCCTGCATACAATTTCCTTCTTGTAAGGACGCTGGTCATTGATTCAGGTCCCCCCTGATCCAGTATGACCTCATCTTAACACGATTACATCTGCAGAGACCCCATTTCCAAATAAGGTCCCATTCTGTGGTTTCGGGTGGGCATAGATTTTGGGGGGACTCTGGGGAAGACATTCACAGTGGTAAAGCCACTTGTAAAATCGCTTACATTTGTAGACTCTTAAATACAACTCAGACCATGTTGAATTGTTGGCTTGGGAACTGGACAAGTGCAAAGTAAGGGCTGCCGTCAGGTCCGGTTTGATCAGGGCTCTGGCTTCTCTGGACTTGCTTGCCTGTCCCCTTCTCTATGAGCTTCATCTTTAGGCTGACTTCCCTCTTGCTAGACATATGGCTACAGCAGGTCCAGTCCTCACAGCCACACACATCTCTATCCGGGAACAGAGACAGAGGGAGGCCCCTCCCCTATATATCAGAGAATCCCCAAGCTTTATTCTCATTGAGCCATTTTGGGCCAGATAGCCCAGGAAATGCCAGACACTGATGGCCTGAAGTCTGGTGGGGCAGCACAGGACCCGGGGCTGGTCCCTCGAACCCCTGACGGGTGGGTTTTAAGAAGGATGCTTTGGGCTGGGCCTGGAGAGAAGTAATGCTCAGGGTTTCTTTATTCTTCCTCTCAGGTGTGAAGACAGCACCATCCTTCAACCCTGCAACGCCACAAGGGATACAGTTTGTGCTGTAAAAATTCATCCAGAGGCTGGTAAGGGTCTGATTCTGTCTCCTAAATCCATAAAAGTAAAAAGTTGAGGGTCTGTGGGCCCTAAGGTCCCTGTTGTCACAATTCAACTCTGCTGCTGTTGCTTGGCTGTGTGTGAATAAAACTTTATTTATAGCAGTGGGCAGTGGGCAGGATTTGGCCCATGGGTCACCGTTCATACACTCCTGTCTTGAGTAAACAAATAGAATCCTTGGGGACAAGCTGTGGCTCTGCCATCCTTGTCCCCATGTTGGGGCCGTGTCGGCTCAGGCACTATTTTTATTTAAAAAATTTTTTTTTTTGCGGTACGCGGGCCTCTCACTGTCGCGGCCTCTCCCGTTGCGGAGCACAGGCTCCGGACGTGCAGGCTCAGTGGCCATGGCTCACGGGCCCGGCTGCTCTGCGGCACGTGGGATCCTCCCGGACCGGGGCACGAACCCGCGTCCCCTGCATCGACAGGCGGACTCTCAACCGCTGCACCACCAGGGAAGCCCTATTCTTTATTATTGAAGTGTAGTTGATTTACAATATTGTGTTAGTTTCTGGTGTACAGCAAAGTGATTCAGTTATATATATATATACATACATACATACACATATTCCTTTTCAGATTGTTTTCCATTATGGTTTATCCCAGGATACTGAATATAGTTCTCTGTGCTATACAGTAGGACCTTGTTGTTGGTCTATTTTATATATAGTAGTGTGTATCTGTTAATCCCAAACTCCTAATTTATCCCCCCCTCATCCCCCCTTACCCTTTGGTAATCATAAGTTTGTTTTCTACGTCTGTGAATCTGCCTCTGTTTACTAAACATGTTCATTTGTGTCATATTTTTAGATTCCACACATAAGTGATTTCATGCAGTATTTATCCTTCTCTGCCTGACTTACTTCACTTCATGTGATCATCTCTAGGTCCACCCAGGTCGCTGAAGATGTCTTGCCCATTTTTATATTCGGTTGTCTGGGGTTTTCATTTTCTTATTTTTGATGATTATTTATAAACATTGGTAATTATTTATAAGCTGGGGATACAAGCCCTTTGTATCGGATATCTGCACCCACCTCTGCCCCCGAGGGTGCCTTTTTACTCGCTTTATGGGGTCTCTTGTGGACAGAGGTCCTTCATTTTAATGAGGTCAAGTTTGTGGCTGTTTTCCGCTATGTTTGGTGCTCTTCCTCTCCCGGGTGAGAAATCTTTACTCACCCGGAGAAAGTATTCTGCTCTGTGACCTGCCAGCAGCTTCGTGGTCTAACCTTTCTCTTTTTCACTCTACACAAACCTGGAATTGGTGTTTTGCAAGGTGTGAGGTAGGGGTCTAGGTTCAGTGTATGTTTTCCCACTGCACATATCGACTACCCCGTTTTGTGTTTTGAAGACGATCCCTTCCCCGCCCTCAGCGTTACTTGGTCATAACTGAGCGCCGTGTCCATCTGGGCTTCCTGTCTGTCTGTTCTGGGGCCAGTGCCACTTTCCTGCCAGCCTTGACGTTGGAGCTGAAGTCCCCTTGCCTCCTTCCACAGGGTCATCAGGCCACCCTTGGACTCAGCACATCCACTGAGATTTAAAAATCAGCTTATCAGTTTCCTTCTGTTTTAAATAAAATGCAAGGACCTTTTTTCTTTAAATTTTTACTGGAGTACAGTTGGTTTACAATGTGTTAGTTTCAGGTGTACAGCAGAGTGAATCAGTTATACCTATACATATATCCAGTCTTTTTTAGATTCTTTTCCCATATAGGGCATTACAGAGTATTGAGTAGAGTTCCCTGTGCTATACAGTAGGTCCTCATTAGTTATTATGTATAGTAGTGTGTATGTGTCAATCCCAATCTTCCAGTTTACCCCTCCCCCCACTTACCCCTGGTAACCATGTTTGATTTCTGCATCTGTAACTCTGTTTCTGTTTTGTACATAAGTTCATTTGTACCCTTTTTTTAGGTTCCACATATGAGTGATATCATATGATTTTTCTCTTTCTCTGTCTGACTTACTTCACTCAGTATGACAATCTCTAAATCCATCCATGTTGCTGCAAATGGCATTATTTCGTTCTCTTTTATGGCTGAGTAATATTTCATTGTATATATACCACATCTTCTTTATCCATTCATCTGCTGATGGACACTTAGGTTGCTTCCATGACCTGGCTGTTGTAAATAGTGCTGCAGCGAACACTGGGGTGCATGTATCTTTTTGAATTATGGTTTTCTTCAGATATATGCCCAGGAATGAGTTTGCTGGATCGTATGGTAGTTCTATTTTTAGTTTTTTAAGGAACCTCCATACTGTTCTCCAATATGGCTGTACCAGTTTACGTTCCCTCCAACAGTGTAGGAGGGTTGCCTTTTCTCCACACCCTCTCCAGCACTTACTGTTTGTAGATTTTTTTGATGATGGCCATTCTGACCAGTACGAGGTGATGGCTCATTGTAATTCTGATTTGCATTACTCTAATAACTAGTGATGTTGAGCATCTTTTCATATGCTTTTTAGCCACCTGTATGTCTTCTTTGGAGAAATGTCTATTTAGATCTTCCAGCCATTTTTCGACTGGGTTGTTTGTTTTTTTAATATTGAGCTGCATGAGCTGTTTATATATTTTGGAGATTAATCCTTTGTCCAATGATTCATTTACAAATATTTTCTCCCATTCTGAGGGTTGTCTTCTTGTTATGTTTATGGTTTCCTTTGCTGGACAAAAGCTTTTCAGTTTAAGTAGGTGCCATTTGTTTATTTTTGTTTTTATTTTCATTACTGTAGGAGGTGGCTCAAAAAAGATCTTACTGTGATGTACATCAAAGAGTGTACTACCTGTGTTTTCCTCTAAGGGTTTTATAGTATCTGGCCTTACATTTAGGTCTTTAATCCATTTTGAGTTTATTTTTGTGTATGGTGTTAGAGAATTTTCTACTTTCATTCTTTTATGTGTAGCTGTCCAGCACCCCTTATTGAAGAGGCTGTCTTTTCTCCATTGCATATTCTTGACTCCTCTGCCATAGATTAGGTGACCATAGGTGCGTGGGTTTTTCTCTGCACTTTCAATCCTGTTCCATTGATCTATAATTCTGTTTTTGTGCCAGTACCATACTGTCTTGATTACTATAGCTTTATGGTATAGTCTTTATGGTATGGTATAGCCTGATTCCTCCAGCTCCATTTTTCTTTCTCAAGATTACTTTGGCTATTCGGGGTCTTTCGTGTTTCCATATACATTGTAAAAATTTTTCTTCTAGTTCTGTGAAAAATGCCACTGGTAATTTGATAGGGATTGCATTGAATCTGTAGATTGCTTTGGGTAGTATAATCATTTTCACAATATTGATTCTTCCAATCCAAGAACGTGGTGTATCTGTCCATCTGTTTGTGTCGTCTTTGATTTCTTTCATCAGCATCTTATAGTTTTCTGAATACAGGTCTTTTGCCTCCTTATTCCTAGGTACTTTATTCTTTTAGATGTGATGGTAAATGGGATTGTTTCCTTGATTTCTCTTTCTGATCTTTCATTGTTGGTGTATAGGAATGCAAGAGATTTCGGTATATTTATTTTGTATCCTACAACTTTACCAAATTCATTGATTAGCTCTAGTAGTTTTCAGGTGGCATCTTTAGGATTCTCTATGTATAGTATCATGTCATCTGCAAACAGTGACAGTTTTATTTCTTCTTTTCCAATTTTTATTCCTTTTATTTCTTTTTCTTCTCTGATTGCCGTGGTGAGGACTTCCAAGACTTTGTTGAATACTAGTGGCGGGAGTGGGCATCCTTGTCGCCTTCCTGATCTTAGAGGAAGTGCTTTCAGCTTTTCAGTATTGAGTATGATGTTTGCTGTGGGTTTCTCGTGTATGGGCTTTATTACGTTGAGGTAGGTTCTCTCTGTAACCCGCAAACACTTTTAAAGGCTATTACAACACCAAAACAGAAGGCAGAATGAGGAAGGGCCTCTGATCAGAGAATAAAAAGAGCCTTTAAGCAGAACAGTGGCACCACGGGAAAGACTCGCTCCTTCCTCCTCTGTCCTTGGTGACAGATTGCATCAGGGTGGCCGAGCGTCCACGGCTCTGATGGGCCCGCCCCGCCCCCCGTGTCTGTGCATCTACGGCTCCTGTCGGCGCTGGGAGCTCAGCAGGGTGAGACGGAGACACCCCAGTGGTCACGCCAGAGGTCTCCCCAGGGTGGACCCTGCCCTGTCCCTTGGGCCAGCGTGGCCCGGCCCTACTGCCATGAGGACTGGCCATCCCCTCCCTCCTCCCAGCCTCCTCCGGGCTCTGCCTGCTGCTGGCCCAGGAGTAAATCCTGCAGCTGCGACCACTCACACCTGAGCCCCATCCCAGGATGCCAGGGCCTCTTGCTGCTCTGCTGGCAGGTCAGACCTGTTTCTTCCAAGGCCAGGGCCTCTGACCCCAGGTCCTGTCTGAGCAGGAGGGATGAGCCTGTCGTGCCTCCTGCCGGGGAGGTTCGTGGCGACAGTCATCAAGAGAGCACTTCGGGGCCTGGAGAATGGCGGTGCTGCCACCACGCCCAAGAGCAGCACGTCACTTGGATGGGGTAAGCGTGCCTGACACTGCGACAGCATCTCTGTTTTGCCTCCTTGCAGGAAACCTAAAGTGGTTGTGGATCCCCTTTGCTGCGACCGTGGTCCTTTCCATCACCACGGCCATCATCATCGCCGTCACTCGCCGCTGTAGCAGAAGAGGTAAATCAGAGTCACGTTGATCCTTGAGGAAACCAGGTCAGCAAGAGCACCAGGAGCTCAGAAGTGGGGGCCTGGGGTCAGTGGTTCCTGATGGGAGCCTCTCGTTGGAACACAGCTCTGCTCACTTTCCATCTCGGGGGCCCCGCGTGTGTCTGGGCTCGCGTGCTCCCCAACGTGCAGGGCTTGAGACCAAAATCGCAGGGCAGGGCTTCCCCGGTGTCGCAGTGGTTGAGGGTCCGCCTGCCGATGCAGGGGACACGGGTTCTGGGAGGATCCCACATGCCGCAGAGCAGCTGGGCCCGTGAGCCACGGCCGCTGCGCCTGCGCGTCCGGAGCCTGTGCTCCGCGACGGGAGAGGCCGCAGCAGTGAGAGGCCCGCGTACCGCAAACAAACAAACAAAAAAAATCGCAGGGCAGCTGCTGGGGACAGGTGTCCAGGGCGCCAGGGGCCGGGAAGCCAGGAGAGACGGGTGCAGCTCCGGCCAGGGGGTCTTGGAGGAGGCAGTCCCTGGGTGCTGGGGAAGCTTACCAAGTAAGTGCCCGTCCTGTGTTTTCCCAGCTGCGAGGTTTTTCCAGTCGGTTGTCGGTTTTGGGAAACGTAAGTCCACTTTCTTGACTGTGAATTCGAGGCATTTCCTCTCCTCACAGAAGTCGCTGTAATAGTTAATATCAATTGTTTTCTGTTCTCTCTCTTCTTTTTGATTTGCAGAAAATCCAGAGGAGCCAGGCAGCCCTGTAAGTATCACCCTGGGATTTGTCCAGTGAAGCCCCAGGAGGTGGAGGGGTGGGGGACAGCCCCAGGCCTTCCCCGCTGCGTCCACATTTAGCCTGTGCAGTGGTGTCTGCGCCCACCTTAGCAGAGCCCTGGAACATCTGTGCTGGAAGATTTAAGTTCTGCTGAGGCACAGGGGACAAAAGGCTTTCTTTGGTATCCCAGGGCTGCTGAGACAGATCCCCATAGACGGGGGGCTTAAAACATTACGAGCTTTACTGTCCCACAGTTCTGGAGGCCAGAGATCCGAAATCAAGGGGTTGGCGGGTTTGATCCCCTCGGAGCTCTAGGGGCGGGTCCTTCCTCGCTTCCCCTGGTTGGGGCTGGACTTGCTTGGCGCTCCTTGGCTTATGGGCGCGTCACTCCAATTTCTGCTGTCTTCACACAGCCTCTCCCCGTGTGTCTCTGAATCTCTCTCCTTTTAAGGGCACTAGTCGTAGGATACCGGTCCCACTCTTATCCAGTATGACCTCGGCTGAAGAGACCCTATTTCTAAATAGGTCCCATTCACAAGTACTATGGATTAGGATGTGGGTCTATCCTTGGGTGCCCACCATTCAACCCACCACAGGCTTCTCTTGGGATCCCCCGAGGAGTCGTTGGCAGAGAAGGGACCTGACCCCGTGCAGTGTTCCTCTCGAAAATTGCACAGGCCTTGCTTACCTATCAGACAGTTGGCATTTCTTTCC